CATTCATGACCAGCTAAGCGGGTGTGTGTGTTTTTTTCAACGAGCACAATGAGCAGCAGTACCGCTCTTGGGCTTTGTGTATGGTCGTTCTTGCCATTGAAGCACAATTAAGTCGCGTTTGGTCGACACCAGCCAAGCAGCGAATCAAGCAGCGAACCAAGCCGCCAGTCAAACAAACAGTCAACCAGCCAACCCAGTCCCCAGCCATTCCCAGCCATCCCCAGCCATCCCCAGCCAACCAGCCATCCCGTCCATCGAACTATATCTTTGTCCACTGTCACGGTCTATTGCCTTCGCAATACACTTGCACCGCATTTAAATTGCAACTTTTTGTGTCCATAGGCAAGCGCAGGGCAATTTGTATAAAAAATAAAAAAGTATCTATACGGTTGAATATACATATACACACACTTATACATATATATTTAAATATGTGTATATGCTATATGTGCGAGAGAGTGTGGGAAAAATGAAGGTGGGATAGGGATAGGGCTTGGGATTGTTGGATAGGGTGAGGCTTTACCTTTGCATCGTTTCCGTTAATGGGGTATATACGGCATAGACAATGTATGTATGTATGTCACGGCTAAGTCGAGGTACTGAGTGACAAAAAATTACACTAAAATATACATATAAATATTGATTCATCTATGGATTTTGCTGCCCATACGAAAATTTAACTTGTCCCTGCCAGCACCACTTGAGCAACAATTTGCACAGCTAGCAGCTCGAATCGAGCCCAAGTAACCAAAATCTAAGAGGCACCAGCACCAGATGGTGCTGCCGTCTGCCTTTTTTTAGTTCTGTAATGCAGCTATAATCATGTTTATGACGATAGCTGATGATGGGATAACAAAAAGTGGCGTTAAAAACAAAACAAAAGTGGCAGACAGACAGACAGACAGACAGAGAGACAGGGAGACAGATATGCAGACAGACACAGACATTTTCGTTGGTGTCTGTCTGTCAAGCGAGCAGTAAACTTGACTATTGATACAAAAGCGAGTGATAAATGTACAGCAAGATGGCAAGTAGTTGTTGCTGGTTGCCGGAAATGTGCGTGTTACAATACAGCATGCACACACACACTCAAACACACACACTCAAACACACACTGAAACACACACACTCAATCCCACACACTCGCTGTGACTGTGACTGTGACAGTGCGACGACAGTGCACTATGGGGAAAATTCCCATTTTTCGGGTATTTAGTCATTTTCTCAAAGTATTAAAATTGATTGTTTTTTTTTGGTAACATATTAAGAAAACTTCAAACTATAAAGTCCAATACCAAAAATGTTATATAACATAGCACTGTTAAGTCTAACAGCTGTTAAAGTCAGCTGTTGCTGTAGAAAAGCACTTGCTTTAAGATTGCAATATTTTTGCAGCCTATTTTCAAAATGCCACTATTCACACGCGAAACATTCTTTTTGTGAAATTTAAAAAGGATAGCAATCACACGGGTTTTAACTATGTAATGGTTGTACTAATATTTTGTAGTTGTGCGTGTTCTATTAATATTTTGTAAAAGTAGGAAACGTTCTCAAAGCACATTTCTTGGAAATATATTTCAAGTTCGTGGAGACATATAAAAAAAGTATTAGGATTGACAAGTGTACGTCCAATTGTATGTCGTAGAGCCAATAATTTTGATTTAAAGGCAGTTTGTCTAAATGCGCACTTTTGCGCACTATCTGCGCAAATTAATTTTTTGCAGCGGACTTCGAGTTTTCAAACGCGCAGCTGTTTGATGTATGGCGCAAGGAAAAAGGCAAATGCAATCAAGAAAATGCGATTCTGGATTTTTTTAGGAAGAGATTTAATAAAAACATTCATGTTTTAAAACATGTGCTATATTTAAAGAGTAAAAGTCAAATTGTGTGCCGAAACTTGAATGCCAAATGGAAAAAATGCATGCGGAACAAAAAATATTTTGAAAAAATCATTAAAATTGGTTAATGAGCACAACAAAATTATACAAAAGCGACTCAAATAGGAACAATAATCGACAAATTGGTCATCCAAAGTTGGCTTACTTGTTAAAGGGGTAGGAGCTAAAAAAACAAGCAGCAGCTCTATCCAAAACTCAAGAGCAATGTCTCTTTGTTGATTCAAGCAGCAAGCATAAAGGCCTTTCCCTTCCCATCGATTTTTAAATCCTCTTATTATGTGAAATTTAAGGCCCATATCAAACTTTTGAGGATTTCGAAGATGAATTAAGAAAAAACTAAGAAAATTTCTATCAATATTAACTATTGTTCCTTCTTTAGCTCAGAATTTCATAAAAATGAAGTTTTTCCAAAAGTAAAACTTTATTTTTATGTATAAGGAGATTATAGTCAATAAATATTAATAAAAATATTCCAATTTTTAATATTATTAAAAAAAAAATATTTTTTTTTTAAATTTGTGGGCCGTAACACGCCTTCTTTTTCCAAAAATGTTTCTAGGGGTGTACATAACAATAATCAAAAAACCGCATCGAAAAATCTTGCTTAGTTTAAAAGTTATTAATTAATACCCGAAAAATTGGAATTTTCCCATAGTGCAGTGGTCGCTACGGTTGCTTCAACTTCCGCTTCATATGTTGGCTGTAACGGTGTGTGTGTGTGTGTGCGTATAAGTGTTTGGCCGCAACAAAGAGGTTTCACAACATCCGCCGTCACATCCGAATCGGCATCCGCTAGCAGCAGCAACAGCAGCAGCAGCACTACCCAGCAGTCGGTTGTACTTTATCAAATGAAGTAGAATAAACTTTACGCAATTTTAACTCCTATTCTTGTTGCGTGCCAAAAGTACTCTCATCTCATGTGCCTGTGCAGCCGCATGCTTTGTGTCCTGCCCCGGTCACAGATCCTTGCTGGTACTTTAGAATTGGATTTTACGTAGTGCTAGTCGTGGAGCTAGCTCCAAAAAAAATAGTTACACATGCACATCAGTTTATGGGTAATTCTTGATTATGCTTAGGTAAATTCTGCTATTAAATATGCGCCATTCGGTAGGCCCACACTTGTTGCATCATTACTCCTGATTAAATAATCCAACAATATTTTGCTATGACTGGTATGAATGACAAAATCAATGCAATGGAGCCCTTCTATTGACTCGTCGTATAAGCATAAGTGCATTATTCATATGCTGCTTCCGCTTACGTTGCTCTAAACATAATTTTTGCTTTTAATTTTTGTTTTTTTTTCGCTTTTGGGGGAATGTTAAAAGGCTAGCCACTTCTTCCGCTCCAGCTACGTGTATTTTGTAGCAAGTGATATTGTTTCGTGTGACATACGTTTCGTTACCTCTAAACTGGGCGGGCAAAGGGCCCGGCCCGGCCCGGCCGTGGCTACCGTGTGGCTCTGGCTGTGGCTGTCACTGCGGTCGAGGCACCGACTGGAGTCTGCAGAGTGTTCGTTTGTGTCGTTTTTAATATAATTAGGCACTGTAAATTGCATTATTTTATTTTTGTATTGGAAAACAACAAACAAAAACAGCAAAGGCAAAAGCAAATTGGTTGTCACTGCAACATCATTGTTGTACGTTGACTTTACGTCCAATAATTCGATTTATATGCTGGGCTTTTTACCAAGCAAAAGGCAAAGGCATCGGCATCGGCATCGTCATCGGCATTGGCAGCAACTGCAACCCGATCAATGGGGGACGTACGTCGACCACCCTTTTATGGCACTTTGAGTGCATTAGATCCAAATTGGCTGGCAGCAAACTTTATTATTGCGGTTGAGTACGGGCATGTACGGGTATGTATGCATGTGCACATCCCTTTTAGCGACAACTACGAATATACTCGTATGTATTTACAATGTAAGGTACAACAACACAAAAAAAAATCGTTTTAAAATCAACGCAAAGGGAAGCTGCAACCTACGCTAATGTACAATGCAGGCAGGCAGGCAGAAGAAAAACAGTGACAGTGGCCTCCTATTGGATAATGCAGTTAAAATCGGAATACCGTGACAGCACAGGGTGCAGAGTATAATAAAATGAGAATATAATTTATTAGCCAATGATGCTTTTAGCGGTTCAAATAAGCGAATAAGCAGCAAATTTTCTTCAGAATTTCAGCAGAATTTATTCAGATTTTATGCACTTAGTTTCGCGTTAATCCCGCAAACATCTTTACAGATCTTTAATGGTGCAATTTTTGTTTGGGTTTGCAAATCACTCGATGATCCCCACCCCCAGGCTTGTTTATGTATTGCGCCCTGCAGCTATGCACCAAAGGGGAATAAAATGTTATCACTTTGCAAAATTGGTCATTGGCAAGTGCTAATATGGGTCTAGCCCAAAATACACACAATATTTATATATGTATATGTAGACGAGCTGTATATGTATGTATTTTATTTACATGAGGCAGACAGGCACAACAGACAGCAACATCTTCAGAGCAAAAGCAACCCCCAATTTACAATTGGGGAGGGGGGGGGCCGCCCGTGTAAATTGTAATATGATTTTGCTGCTCGCACAACTGACGCCCAAGAAAGTGGAAAGACAAATACCCCGAAACCAAAAGTCGTGTCCTGCAAACATCGTTTTCGGTTTGATTGCCCCACCACTGGCAGTGTTAGCTGTTAACAACATTTCTATACCTATACCAGCAGCCACCCACACCACCAGCACCCACACTCGCCCCCAAAAGCCCAGCATCGTTGCTGAGTCCTGAATCCTGGTGTCTGATTCTCTCGCCTGCCACTGCCACTGCCACTGTGACTGCCTCTGGCCAGAGCGCCTTTAGGTCTCTGACTTGGATGTTGCTTCATCGTGTGACTTGGAAAACTTCTTGGGCTTTTCATTTTACGGTTGAATTATGGGAAGATTTCAAGTTTAAAATGTACATGGAAATGGACAGGAAGTGTAGCAAGGTTCTCACCTGTCCATATACATATATAAATACATACATACATATGTACGAGCATGTACATAAATTAGTTTGGTTTCCTCTACAAAAATTTACTTCACCAATAAATTACATCTGTTTCTTACAACGTTTTTAATCAGCTATCAAACAATTGAATTTACAAATAAAGGGGGCGTTGGGGGGGGGTAGGAATTTAGTTACCAAATATTACAATTTTATATAACATGAGAAAATAACTTTAGGAATTTAGCTATCGGTATTTGCAACTTGGAGTTCCCATAACCCATTAAAACATTCCGCGCAGGCAGGCAATCACAAAAACCAAGTGAACGAGATTAATCATATAACATAGTAGCGCAGTTTGTGGGAAATTCCATTCTTGTGACTTAACAGAGACTGTCAGGTATTTTACAGTTGATATCTTGGACGAAGGGCACTCAAGCGGCATATTATTGAGGAATGTGAAAGGCGTCATATCGCCCATTGAGCCCTCTGATTCCGACAATGATTCACAGTCACTGTCATCACTGTATATTTCACGGAAAGATATCACCCGATGCTCCGAGCGTACTCTCATCACTGATGACTCTGGCATGTCAAAGGATCGCGCTCCTCTATGGTGAATGTCATCGGCCGAACGTGAACGGCACATCAATTCTTGATCTGCCGCCGTAAAACTGTGTAACTTGACGTCAATGTTCGGCTTCTGGGCATATCTGTGTTTCTGTAAAAACCCAAATGTTGCCAAAGGAAATTTTGGCCAACTGTTTAGTGCTGAAACTTACCAATAAGCGACTCATGTTGGCCTCAAATTGGGATTGAGCAGCATAAGCTTGCGGCTGCGGCATTTGGTGCTTAGCCTCGTCTGTGTTTAAGTCTTTGCCACTAACTAAAATACGTTTGCCAGTAAGTTTTGCGGCTTGTATGGCTTCACTCAGCTGAATCATTGATGGATCAGTCAAGTTGATAATATTATCGTTCAGCCTGCTCTCAACATTTGCACCAACTGGGACCACTTTCAATGGACATTGATAAGTTTTGTGTCCATTTCGTAAAGATGATTTGATTGGGCGTATAGTCATTTTTGCATTCGGAGTTCGGCGCTGTTGATTCTCTTTTGTATCATCTCTATTTATATTCTGTATTTTTTGCTTGGCGCCAGTGAAGGCAACCTTGCTGCATCTATAAAGAAAACAACGATGAATTTGGATTAAATGGCAAGCAAATGTACTCGCGAATTTTACAAGTTCTTAGTTGCTTACAAGTTCAGAAGCATGATGGGCTTATTGGTGTTTATCGTTTGTTTACGTTTCTCTACGTTTGTTGAATATTTGTGAAGTCAGTTGTGAATACTGTGAGCTCTGTTGTAAGAATGTTAATGCCGAGCATACTATCAACTTACATTTGAATTTTTACCCAGTTTGAGAGCGCTCAAGAACTCAACAAACTAACTCTATCTATTAAAAGATTTTTAATTTTTCCAGAGCCAATTAAATTTAAAATAATCAGAAAGATGTCTTCCAGTGGGATAGTTTATGAAAAAAAAAAAATACCTTCAACGAACAATTCATTCACCGCTGAGCGTATATATATATATATACCCTTAAAGAGGGTACATACCAATAAAGTACATCTATTTATAATCAGTTGTTTTGACTGCCTGCAGATATAGAAACTGAGTAACGAATATCTTCATGTACCGATAGAAAACAATCCCAAAAGGTAAATTAACTTCAATATTTAATGAGCTTATCTCTAAGATTTTCTCAGAACAAAAATCAACGAAATATTTCACATAGTTTCTCTTTCATTAAGCGCCCAGATCGGATCAATTTATCATATATCTGCCTTGGAAACAAATCGTTTAAAAACCCATATGTAAATTTATTTTCCATCTAAGTTTAAGAGCATAAAAACTTCGTTCCTTCAAAGTTCGGGTTCTGCTTCTGGTTTTTTAGCAAATTTTCTTTTTTTTTGTTTTTTTTTTCGTTTCTGTTTTGCTGTTAGTCGCTTGATTCACGCTCTCCTGTCCTGTCCTCTACCCGCAGGATGAGCTGTCTGCATTTTATAAGCAGTAAAACAGACAGAACAGTAGCCGGGCCGGGCCGGGCCGCGCTACGACTGTCGGCTTAAGTGCCACCCCTCCTCCGCATGCTGTGCGCACAGAATTTCCTTCCTTCCGTTGAAAGTAAATTACATTTTATTTGATTTTAAGTGAATTATTTACTTGCTTGTTTTTGTCGCTGCCACTCAACCAGCGACTATATCCATATTTCAATACACTTGCAAATAGTATTTGAAGATATCCAAAACTTATCATCTTCTTTTTGGATTTCAGCCTACGCTCCGCAGTGGTCCCATGATGACTACCTTCAAAGAGAAGTTCGATATTATATAAAGTATTATATATGGTTTGGGGTAGCAATAAATCTTATTCGCATGCTTTCAGCAAAACAGGAAAATTACCTTCAATTATCAACATTTTCAACACAGTCTAAATATTGCAAGGATAATTTCAGCAAGAATGTCATCATTGACCACTGATTTGGAACTATGGAACTAAAGCCAACGCCTGGGCTATCCTACCGCCCTAGAAGTGCAACGATCCACACAAACATATTGTTTGTATGTAGGTAGATTTGTTAAATTGATTTTGATTATTTTCTTTGCTTAACCCTGGACACTTTGTTTTTCGTTTAGTAATTTTTTTTTTCATACTTTCTGGTCCCGGGAGGAAAGCAAAATAGTATTTTTGTGGAAGGAAAAATCTTGGAATGGTTTCATATGCATTTCGTTCTTACCGAATACCGAAACCTTTTGTCTCTGGCCCATCATTTGTACACAATACACAATATAATGCATGATAATTATACAACTTGGCAGCTGTTCCTACATTTGAAATGGTATCTATATTGAGAGGCGTACGAATATGTACATTGTACATACTATCTATTTAGAAAATGTTTATTCAGGCGAAAAATCCACACTGAAATCGGGTTTCGTTAACAGCGGGCTGTTATGAACAAATCAACAAGTTCGTTGTCGACGAAACCTGCATGCTGTGTGGAGAAACAACAAATGCAACTAAAAACTGTGACTTAAAAATATTAAATATGTATGTAGGTACATAGAAAAACATACAACAAAGATACATACAAAAGCTTAATGAAAATTCATACGTATATTTATATTTATAATTTGTACATTTTTCAATCGCGTTATCGTAATTGTAAGTAAATAGGACCAGCAGCGGATTGGACCTTGATTTCGGTATGTAGGCAACCCACTAAGAAATGTTTGAGAAATTTAAGATACATGTTTTCCTTCATTATTAACAGCTATACGTCCCTGCTAAAAGTTATTCCACAAAGTCTCTCAAACACAGCGAAACTATCAATATATGTGTGCACGATAGATGCCTCCACGGACTTAATACAAAACGGAAAACGGCTTTTTATATTTAACATTTTTTTTTGTATATTAATTTTAATTTGAACTTAATATTTAATTTTAAATATAATAACCAAAAAATAATGTTAATGAACGGGGATTTTGTTGCGTGTACAGCTATCAGATATTACTTAGACGAGGATTTTCCAGAGTCGATGTAGACCTTGGGCTTGGAGTAGAAGCGGATCTCCCCATCGACGTTATCCAGCTCCTTATCGATCTCGGCCTTGCGGGTGCGCACCCACAGACTCTGTGAGGTGATGGGCATGTGATTTACCTCACGGATGAGACCATCATAGCGCTTCTGTGCGCTGTTCAAGTGGCTAAGACGTTCCTGCTCCGTGAGCAGACAATGACCGCGTGGGCAGTCCGGATCCGGTGCATCGGCAATCTCTTTGGCCGCAGCGGCGGCACTTTGACGCTTCTTCTTCTCCAAGTAACGCGGCAGACGCAATTGGTCGCGTGAGCCCAGCTTGTGCTCGCGACGTTTCGATGTAATCGATGTGGTGCTGGTGGCATTTGAGGCCACTGTGGCCACTGTAAAGCGGCTGCGGGCACTAAGCGGTGCCTCCTCATCCGAAGCGACTTCGGTTTTGAGATCATCATCGGGTAAGTCAATCATGTTCCAGTCATTCAGCTTTTTGCGAGATGAGTACAGCTCCCCCCCGTCTTCGTTGTTATCGTAGTAGCGACTGGACATTATTGATTCAGCATCGAAACTGCATCTAAAAGAGCAAAATCAAAAGGGCCTATGATATATATATTTTCTAATATATTTTCTTACTTTTTTAGGGCATTTGTGAGATAGCGCTCATCGGTGATATCCTCCGTCTGTGTGCCAATGCTTGTGACGCTGCGTTGTGTGCCGCAAGAGCTGCAGTATTCTGAATAATTGTCCTGCGACTCTACTAAATCTTTCTCTGCTTGCTCCGACGGGTCATGGAACGCAGTACGGCGCCCTTCCAAGCCGGCAAAATGTTCGCTACACTCTGAATCGGGCGCACCCAATTGTTGATACGAACGCGAGTTTTTACGGCTGGTTTTGGCCTGGATTTTGTTTCGTTTGGCTACGGGTGCCGGTGGGGGTTTTCCTGATTTCGAGTCTAGTACCTCAGAGCCCACACGGCGCATGGTTGGCATCCATGTGGGACGCACTGGTTCCTTGGCCGCTATCTTGTCAGTTGTTGATTTCTCCAGCAGGCGCAAACTCAATTTATTCTCTTTGAGAAAATTGCGACCCCGAACAGATCGCGGCATTGACAAAATTCCTTTCAGCGTGGGTATCGGACGAAATGGTGGGTGGGACATGATCCGACGGCTGTATAAGTACACTAATTGCGGTACCGAATATTGTAAATATAAATAAATATTATTGGAAAATAATGAATTTTTTGTTGTTAGTTAGTCGAGCTGCGACGTTGAATGTTTTGAGTTGGTGATGTTCGATGACAACTAGCATCAAAAGCACACTTGTATGTGTTTTTTTAGTAACATAAAAAAAATATAGCCAGATATATATATATTTGCATATATCTTTCAAACTGTTCGTTCGATTTTTGTTGATTTTTTTGCCATGCAAATAAAAAAACTTTTTGAAAGCTTAAACATTTCCATTATTTATTTTTTATTATTTTTTTATTTTTAGCAAACGAAACGCCAGAATTAAAATGCTTCTATTTGGAAATCATTGAAATGTACTTTTTAAACTCATTTTTTAATCTTTCAGTCACAACTACACAACTAAACAAAAATCATATACATATTTCCAAAAATTAAATAATTCCAAATTTATGTAAAATTTAGTTTGGCTTTAGCGGGCGAAACGATAGTTCGGGAAATCACACAGGTGGAAGTGGACAACAGGCTGAAAGTCGTCTTCGAGTGCTGCTCCGCCAAGTCAATCATGGACTCGTTGGTCTGGTCGGACTTTTACCTGGGGCAACAGCAGCAGCAGATCGCGGCAGGACAGCTATCCCACGCAGATGCAGCAGCAGCAACACGAGCAGCAATGCCAACACCAACAGCAACACCAACAACAGCACCAACAACACCAACAAAAGACGCAGCAGCAACCACAACAACAATTGACGCAGCAGCAACAACATCAACAAAAGACGCAGCAGCAACAACAACAACAATAGACGCAGCAGCAACAACATCAACCACAGACGCAGCAGCAACAAAATCTGCATCAGAGTTCCAGTCCCATTGCAGAGTCGGATCGCCCGGCCCATCCGGCACACCATCGCCCCAGCCAGATAGACCTCAGCGAGTTGGTGAAGGAACAGCAGCATCAGGTTCCGCAGGTCCTTCCACAAACACTACGTAACCCAGATGCAGAACCATCCACAATTTCGGACCGGAGCCCAATCTGCTGTCTGGTATGCTCTGTCTGATAAATGAGCTGTGCTGCGCCAGCGCTGCTTGCATCTGGCACAGTGGGATGTGAAGAGCCTGGTTCAATATGAATCAAAATATATATATCACATTCGGCGGGGCAAATACCTGAAGGGCCTCGTCAGGCGTGGGTGAAATTCGTCTTCGAATTCTGCTCCGCTAAGTCAATCCATGGACTTGCTGGTCTGGTCGGACTTTTACCTGAGGCTTTCAGCCTTCCTCGCTTAGTTTGTGGATGCATACGAAGCTGCTGCTGCTGCTAGCACTGTGCTGCATCAACGGCTAGAATTCACCTGCTGCACTAGAATTTTACTATAATTTTGTATAATTTCGAGCACATACAATTTTGAATAAACAAAATCCTAATTCGCCGCCAACTTCTCGAAAATTGTATCAATACAACATTTGATATCTGTTTAACTTTTAGGTGGAGTTTGTGATGGGAAAACAGGGTAGCTAGGGCCTATAATATTGTGAGAACTTCTCACAAACCTATCCGTATCGAGGACGGATTAGTTTACCGCTAGGAATTATAGTAAAATTGTTCATAAGATGCAGAATAAAGAAGCAAGGAAATGTAAATATTTACATATTTGTACAACGCTATTGCTGCATCGCTCGTGAGCTCAGTCGGAAGACACCATGGGAGGAGCATCAAGAAGCAGGCAAGGAAGCACTCACACGACCACCACGTAAGGTTCCAGAGCAAACCAATTTTGTTTTCCATACGGATTTGCATGTTATAAAAGAACATTAAAGTTGAACGAACAGCGGTGCTAAAAACAATAAAACAGTGAGACAAAAAATCGATAAGATGTTGAAAACAGAAGGGGACCTGTAACAAAAACTTCAGCAAGTTACGGATATTAAGTGAAACCATATTTGTGTGTATATATATAAATGCCTAAGGGAGTAGGTAGTACTGAGTATTATTATATTTTATGCGACTCACAGAAGGAATAATATGCAATACCTTTATGTAAACTTAGCCCCCAAGAAGTTATTACCTTTTCTTTTGCCTTCTATCCATCCATCCATACGAGCTCGTTCTGAGATCAACGACTCACAGCATCTACAACTACATAAAGATATGGGCTTGGAACTTCTCTCTTCTTTACTTGACTTTACTTTTCTCTTTTTGGGAACTTGTATGCTCAGATCAAAAATTCGTACACAGGGTTTGTTTGTTTATTGTTGTTATGTCATTTTGGTAGTTTATTTAATTGTCATTTACAATAGTTTGGAGACCGAACGATTTGTTTTTCCAAGTATTCATAAGCTTATAAAGTTTAATTTCGGCTTAATGTTATCATGGTTAATTTTATTGGCAGACAGTCGATTATAGAATCGCCTAATACAAATCTTTTCCATTGAACAAAGGCAATCATAAAATTCATTCTAATTGTTTTGAGAGTGATTTTTTTTTCGTTTTGTTTCAATAATCTTCATTGATGTTTGTTTTAAGGTATTCAAAGTGTTTTTTTTTCCTTGTGTTGTTGTTGCAATTCTTAACAATATTTTTGTTGTTTTTTTCTTTGTGTTCATTGTTATTCCACTAGTTGTTGTTTTTCTTTTTCCATCGGGTACACAGACTAATGTCAACAAACAACATAATTTTACGTATATGTTTGTATGTATGTATGTTTAGTTATGTAGTATATATGTGGGTATGTAAGCTTTCAATGTTTAAACGTAAAAACGAGTGATTGCATATGTATAAAAATGTGTCTAAGTTAACACTCGGCAGCGGAGACGTGCAATTGGGCACTGGGTTCTTGCAATTAGGCAAGAACTTATTCAGCTGACTAAATCCACTAACTTCGTTGCCACCGAGGGACGATCGCGCCGCTGCCGCTGAATAGGAAGCTTTAGGGCTTAGCTTAATCTTTCTGATATTAAGTATTTTAGTCTTAACAGATCGGCTATCGAATCAACGTCGAATAAATAAGCAAATAACTGTTGTTTTACTGTTGAGCTGATCGGCCAACAACAACTAAACACTGGAAAGCTCGCCTTATTACGTCTCTCCTACTTCGCCTATCGGCGAATACCTTATGGCATAAATCGTCGTGGTCTTATTTCAAGCCACCACAGGAACACTTGCTATTACTGGCGCCCAACAGAATCGCGAACCCGCGAAACAATATTAAATATATAAATAAGAAAAAACAAACCAAAAACACTGTATAGTTTAACACCGAATCCAGATAAGCACCCCGGCTATTCATGTAAGTGATATCAAGGCTCATAACAATAGTATTTTAAGGTGGAATAAGTCTACAAATTGCGCCATTAGTTAATGTTGTAATAAGTGCAAAGAATTAAATCGCATCTTTTGAAAGTAATTTTTCCAAGTGAAACAGCGAAGCCCACCACGACCTTTTTCGGCCAAATATAAATTTTATATTAATCCGGTTATTTTTCTCGGTTCCGTACCGCACATTAATGACAACACGAGACAGTGACATTGACAGTGAGTTGGAAGAGTTATTAGCTAGACACGAAATACATGGTAGACCAAAGCGAAGCATAAAAATGGATCACGCTGACGTTCAGAGCATTGTAGAAAGGGCTGTCGCCACAGCTTTAGCGGCACAGAGCACTGAACTGAGCAGAATCAAATTAGAGTTACAGGCCGCCTTAGACGCGCGGGACGTGCAAATTAAACAGCAAATCGATTTAGCGGTTGCAACTGTAAGTAGAAATATATCAGGGGACGTCCCCAAAGTAGAAGTATTTCAGGATATTCAAATTACAAGTTCAGACTGCAATGAGCCACTCGATGCTGTTAAATCACTACCTGAGTTTAACGGAGCACCGGAAAAGTATGTCTCTTGGCGAGAAAGCGGCAGAGGCCGCATATCAGATTTATAAAACAATATCCAGGCAGCTCTAGACACTACCAGGCTGTTACTAAAATCAGGAACAAAATTACAGGAACGGCGGACTCTGTCCTGGCATCATTTAATACGGTTCTTAACTTTGAAGCAATTATTAGCAGATTGGACTTCACATATGCGGACAAACGCCCGCTACATTTGATAGAGCAGGGAGCTGTCATGCCTGCGTCAAGGCAACATGACAATACTCCAATATTACGATGAGGTAGAAAAAAAACTAACTCTACTTACAAATAAAACGGTCATGACGTACGACAAAACTATGGCCAAATGTATGAATGAAAAATACCGCAGCGATGCACTTCGCGTCTTTATCTCAGGCCTGAGGAGGAACCTCACAGACGTTCTGTTTGCAGCTCATCCGCCTGATTTGCCATCTGCGCTGGCGTTGGATCAGGAAGTGGAATCAAACCATGAGCGCTACGCCTTTGCGGCTAACTATGCAAAGAGCATTGAGGAGAAGGCAGTCAGAAACGAGCAAAGGGTTCAGGCTAACAGGCCCAAGCAGAATAGTCATCATGGTAATCAGGAGAAGGCCCCTTTTTTCTCCAGACAAGTTGATGATCATCGTCAGTCTATCCAAAATCAGGGAAACCAGCCTCAGCGAAACCAAGGCGAACCGATGGATGTAGATCCATCTTCATCGAAACTTCGACAGCTTACTAGTTACCAGAAAAATCAAAGTGCCCTGTTCCGACAAAACAACTCCGAGCGTGTATCCGGACAGAGGCGTCAGAGGGTTAATAATGTAACCCATGAAAGCCGTGGCACAGATCCGGCAGCCTACAATGCCGTAGCTTAAGAGGCCGTCGCAGAAATCGACGCAGAAGGAAGCTGCGGCTACGAAAGCGAGTTGGTGAATTTTTTAGAGAGCGCTCCCGGCTACCGTTTGTCGAGCGGAAGCTGGCTGGGCGAACACTAAGATTCTTGGTTGACACAGGAGCGGCTAAAAACTACGTCAAACCCGTAAAGGAGTTACAGGGCGTGGTACCAGTCGAATCCCCTTTCACTGTGAGCTCAGTACACGGTTCAAACGAAATTAAACAGAAATGTCTGATCAATATTTTCGGGAAAACGTCCCCATTTTTCTTGTTGAATACGCTGACGCTGTTTGACGGTATCATAGGCTTTGATTTGCTAACGCAGGTTGGTGCAAAGTTAGACACAGAAATGAACAAGATAAACTATGGTACAACGTCGGAAAGCCTGACGTACCACACCTGCGAAGATGTTAACTTTACAAACGTCAACGACATACAGGTACCCAATGCCGTAAAAGCATCTTTTAAAAAGATGATTCTCAACAGAACCAATGCTTTCACAGGCACAAACGAACTGCTACCGTTTAACACTACGGTCGTGGCAACTATCCGCACCGAGAACAACGAGCCCATCTACTCTAAGCTATATCCGCATTCCTTGGGAGTAGCAGAGTTTGTCAGTAACGAAATAAAATCGTTGCTTAATAACAAAATTATAAGGCCTTCAAGATCGCCTTATAACAATCCGACCTGGGTCGTAGATAAAAAAGGCCGCGATGAATTCGGTAATAAAAACAAACGTCTGGTTATTGATTTTAGAAAGTTAAACGAAAAAACTGTAGCCGATAGATACCCGATACCCAACATTTCCATGATTTTGTCGAACTTGGGAAACGCCAGGTATTTTACGACTTTAGATCTCAAGTCAGGGTACCACCAGATAGTCCTGGCAGAACGAGATCGTGAAAAACGTCATTTTCAGTAAATGGCGGAAAATAGGAGTTCTGTCGGTTACCATTTGGCTTAAAAAACGCCGGGAGCATATTCCAAAGAACGATTGATGACGTTTTGCGCGAGCAAATAGGCAAGACTGGTTATGTTTACGTCGACGACGTAATAATTTTCTCCGATAATGAAACAGACCATGTTAGCCACATAGATTGGGTACTAAAAAGTTTAATTGAAGCCAACATGAAGGTGTCTAGAGAAAAGACAAAATTTTTTAAGACAAGTGTTGAGTATCTGCGCTTTATAGTCACCAGAGGTGGAGCGAAAACAGACCCCGAAAAAGTCAAAGCCATTCAAGAATATGTTGAGCCAACAAGTTTGTTTGCTCTTAGATCTTTTTTAGGGTTGGCTAGCTATTATAGGTGCTTCGTAAAAGATTTCGCCTCTATAGCGAAGCCACTTACGGAAATCCTAAAGGGCGAGAACGGCTCAGTTAGCAAACATATGTCA